GGGGTGTGGGGGATGCAGGAAGAGACTGGACAAAAATCGTGCACCTATGCATGAGGACAGTGGGTGGGGAGTGAGGGAGGAGGGTGGGGTGGGAACTGGGTGGAGGGGAGTTATGGGGGGAATAAAGAGGAAGAAATGTAAGAAGCTGAACAATAAAGTTTCAATATAAAAAATTAATGTTTGTTATTAATACATTGTTAGGATATAAAAATTGCATTTAAAGAAGTTGAACCAATAAGGGTCCAGTTAGGAAACAAACCACAGAATAATTTGAGCAGGGAAAGTTTGATACAAAGAAATATTGCCTAGTAACAGATGACTGGCTAGGAATGAAGGAAGGTTACGATTGAAGTCTACTGGATGTGAGCGGTGCAGTGCTAGAGGCTGGGACACTTCTGCAAATTGCTCTTTTATGGGTCCTGGAAGAAAGTGGTATAGAGCATATGCTTTATTAAACCTACATTATATAGGTGAATGGAGGAGTTTCTAGTAGTCAGTAGGGTGTATTATGTGTGTGTACTTAGAATAACCGAAAACTGTATTGGTTTTCAGGAATTGTTTCTGATACATATAGACTCTAGGAATTATATAGTATTCAGTTTGAAAGTTCTACTTAGAGCATGTTTATTTTGCTTTTTAAGGGATTTTCAATGACTTGCAAGTTAAATATGAAAATTTAAGTAAGGAAACTAAAGATGCGTAAGTTAATTAAATGAGAAATATATTAGGAATCAGTCCGATTATTAGCATGAAAACAAATTAAGTACATATTTAAACTGAGAGATCATAGTTTAAGGATATGATTTGATTCACAAAAGTTTTGTTTAACTACATCTTTTCCAGTATATAGCACTCTAAGCAAAGAAAACAAAAAGACTCTTGGACACAGATAACAGTATGGTGATTTCTAGAGGGAAAGGAGGGTGGCGGGAGGTAGGAGAGGGTAAAGGGGGATAAATGGTGATGGAAGGAGACTTGACTTGGGGTGGTGAACACACAATACAATATATAGATGATGTATTATAGAATTGTATACCTGAATCCTATGTAATTTTAATAACCAATGTCCCTCCAGTAACTTCAATAAAAAATAAAGAGTCAAATAAAAGCACTGTAATTTAAAAAACACACTGTTCCAAAAGATTTTGCAAATTGTGTTTTCGGAACTCAAAAAGCATGTTCCCATAGAAACCATTTTTCATGTTGTTGAGCTCTTATTTGGCCTGGAAATGTGTTTAATTCTGTATGAATATAACTTATAGTGCTATGTAACAATATTTTTGGGAAAAACACATTTAGAGTTTCTACTTTTGATGCATTTCTTTTATCTGCTAATTAATAGGGATGGGGGATTCCATTGGCATGGCCGTGATGCAGATGTTAGATTGGTTGAAGTGTTGGGTGAAAAATAGGGATATGAATTCTGAGATGAGGAAGAGTGGAAACAAACATTTGTTGAGGACCAACTATATTCATTGCTCTTTGCTACTAATTCCCCATAAAGTATCTCATCCCTTTATTTTTTAATTACATGAAAGCTTAAGATTGTTACTCTAGGGTTCTATAAAAAGGAAAAGACTTTTTAAAATCAGAATTTCTGACATTTCTAAGCTTAAATGTAAATAGTGAAGATATAAAAAAGTATGCCTTCAGATTTATACACACACAGAGGTATGCAATTAACTTAGCGCTAAAATGCTGTTAACCCAAAATGATTAAGATAAGCCTTGAGCCTGTGGCAGTGGAAAATACAAGATACCCCAATCATTCATGGGATTACTACATAGATTATTTGTAATTGGGAATTTCAGCAATACTATATATATTGTTTGCTTAACTTGAAGCAGGATTGACAGGAGCAGAACTATGAAATGAAGCCTATGAAATTCTAGGTAGAATGTATGAGAGGATGGAAACATTGCTTATTAGTAAATGGGCCTGATTTATGTATGCTTGTTATTCCCATCTCCAGTAATTAGCTAGTACCTCTTTCCTGTGGGTAAGATCAGGCCTTGTGACCTGACTTACTCCGGTTCACCTCTGCAGACTCTGCTATGTTCAGTTTTCAATCAATATTCATTGAGTGCTGTCCCATGCCAGACACTGTACCAGTTACCAGGAATGCATTAGTGAGTGAAATGGAGTCATTGTATATTATTATAATCTGTGTTGCTAGGAGAGCCTCTCACCTTAAGAGAAGGCAGTTGAATATACCAAAAAACCTTTGAATTAGAAAGCAGAATAATTTTTTTAGACCCTGAATGACAGAGGGAAGAGGAAGACAAGTTTACACTACAGATAACTGTGGCATCCTTTAAGCCACACGGATTGTGCTATAGGAAAACTCAGAGGGGTCAGAGTATTACATAAGAAGGAAAATGAAAGGTTTTGTTGTCCCCTTTAAATTACAGATTTTTAAAAACAGCATATTTGGGAAATAAAAGTTTTGGTTTTTTGTGGTTTGGGTTTTGTTTATTGTTTGTTTGTTCTTTGCTTGTATAGCTGGTTGTCTAATAGGCTTCAGGCTTACAAAGAGCTACAAGGGGTCATATGTACTTGAAATGATCTGTCAGTGAAGTTCGGGGATTTCTTGTTACTGTAAGAGATAATATGAACTAGGGCAGTTTAGTGTTATCAGGTAGATGAGAAGGTATTCACGAAAATAGATGTGTGTATGGTTACATACCTTAACGGCAGTAGTATAATTAATTTTTTCATTGATGGGTAATGTTGAAATATTTATCACTTAGTGCCCAGCAGTGCTTTAATGCATGTGATTCTGAAGTTTCAGAATGCCTTCATATTTTCTGAAATTGTTTCCCCTTCTCCCCATCTTTTATTAGAAATTTTGAAAGCTCTCTTAGAAGTCATTGTAAGAGTTGCCTTTTTCTCTCCTGAAGATGGAAACCTTTGACTATCTTTTCCTCTGCACTAAACCAAGTTTTATTTATATTTGGAAATTCAATTAGAGGAACCAGTGACTGATTTATGAGTCATTTACCCCTAAATCAGAAAGCTTTCCTGCCCGTTAGTCAGTGGTGCATCACTTTTTTATACCATTATCTAAACACTAAAGGCCCAGTGCACGAAATTCTTGGGGGGGGTGGGGGTGGCGTGTCCCTCAGCCCAGCCGGTGCCCTCTTGCAGTCCGATTCCCCTCAGGTAGGGTCCCTAGGCCTGGCTGGCGATCAGGGCCTATCAGGGCTCCCTCCCCCTCCCCCCCCTCCCCCGGCTGCTGACAGCTGACCCTGCCCCCGCCACTTCCACTGCTTGCCATCTGTATGGTGCTGCTCCCTCCTCCCCTGCCACCGGTCGCCTCCCTCTGTGGGCGACAGGTGTGGGGTGTGATTGCTTGGCTGGCCTGGGCCTTCCTATGCCAGGCACTCACTGGCTGGTGGTCTGGACCTCCCTCTAGGAGCGATTGCAGAGCTTCCCCATAGATCGCCCTGCTGGCCGGTGGCCTGGGCCTCCCTCTTTGGGGCGGTCGATCATGGAGCGCCCCCCCCCCCCCCCCCATTGATCACCCTGCAGAGGGTGACCTAGGCCTCCCTCTGCAGTGTGATTGTGGGGCAATGGTGGGCACTCCGACCAATCACATCACACCCGCCTTTGCTGGCCTGGCGCCAGTGTGTGTCATAGCATGGTTGTCTGGAAGGTCGTCTGGACAGTTGTTCTGCTGTTCAGTCGATTGGCATATTACGCTTTTATTATTATAGATTTTACATTAACAGAGTAGTGGAATTTGGGGCTGAGGTTTCTTTTTACTGAATCTTTAGTCTCCAAAATCAGATATAGAGAAGAGCAAATATGGAAAGAACGTGGGCTGTGGAATTTGAAAAAACCTTATTCCTGATTCTGTACTTATTAATCTCTTGAAGGCTCTGTTAGCTATAAAATGAGAGTAACTTCTTAGAGGGTGTGTATATGTGCATGTGCACATATATTAAATGAGATTATATATTGGAAGCACTTAAAACAGTGCCTGGTATACAGAAAGAGCATAATAAGTGCTTGTTCTTTTTTTTTTCTTTGGCCTAAACCAGTGATCTTTTTTTGCATCCTAAAAAAGTTATACTAGTGTTTAATATGTTGTAGTCTTTACTGAAACAAATCTGAAACAGACCCAATATTAGATAGGGTTAACTGGGAAGGGCTAGAATTTCTGTGAAACCCTCTTATCCTTAATTCATAGTAAAACTATTAATGCCTCTTTTTACCTGGTAGTACAGAGTACTATATTTTGCACATAGTAGGCACTTAAGGATGTAATCAAGCAGTAAAAATAACGTTAAGGAGGCAATCTGAAGGCCTGAATGTAATCTTGGCTTCTTTGCTTATTGATTTTTATGTAAGCCACCGACTCTCTTTGAACATTGTGTCTTGCCCTTCTTGGTCTAGTAATGTGAGTAGGTTGCATCCACCTTAGAGTAGATAATAAAGTCATATAAGGAAGACCTCGGAGCTCAGAAAGGGAGCTCTAGAAGTGGAAGTGGTTGGATCTACCTTGGATCCAAATTGCTAGTCAAGGAGGAGAAACTACATGCAGGACATTTTTAGTTGAGGATCAGGTGTATCGGAGACCAGAAGTTTGGTAAATAAAAAAGGTGCAAACCCTGAAAGAAATACCAGGTTCTTAATCAAAACAGAAATAGCAGCAACAAAAACATATAATTGCAGGAAATTAAGGTGCAGGTTTTCAAAGACAGAAGCACAGATGGAAGATGCCAGTAACAACAAGGAAAACTTTACAAATGAGGTGGCTTCTATACCATAAATTTAGAATTCTCCTCATAGCTCACCTCTTTTCATCTGTTTCCCAGATCTTGCTAACTTAGCTAAGAAAATTCTTTCACTTTTTCTCTTTCCCACTTAGCCTTCTTCTCTACCCAGTGTTTTTCTCTTCACTGTTTCATTTTCAGTCAAAATGCATGAGATCAAGAACTATGCTAGAGCTATACCTGGACTGTTGTTTTTTTTTTTTTTTAGGATATTTACCTGGCTTTTTTGTGAAAGATGAACAAAATAACAAACCATAACAACATTTTGAAGATGTTGCTTTTCTTATAAAATACTCAGTATTCTTATTGCACTTTGTATCAGTCAACTGTCACCACAACAGCCACTACAAAAGTTAGTGTCATACCAAAATATTATTTTCATGTTCACAGATTTGCGGATTGGTTGGATGGCTCTTCTGCATGTGTACCTTATTCTTCTGGGGTAACTGGGCTACTCAGGTCATGTTCTTCTGAGGAAGTTGCAAAAGTTCAAGAGGGCAAGCTCAACCCTGCATGCACATTTTACGCTTGCTCTCATGCTGTCTGCTAATATGTCATTGGTCAAAGCATGCCAAATGGCAAGCCCAAGCAAGAAAATACAGCCTGTCTCTAGTGTATGAGAGTGGAAAATGGCAGAGGGTGTGGTGGATACAGAGATGGGAGAAGTCTTGCAAGTCTAGCTTGGGCATTGTAATATTTTCTGGGGTTTATATTTGTGTTTATGTTTTACCTTGAAGTCATCAATGTGTATATATACTATTTTGAATTTCATCACTTTAGCTTGATGTGATTTTGCAATATACAGTTGTTTGCTTAACTCAGACTGTACTTCTAGGTCCATCTATATCAAAATCACAGTCTCTGGGGGTAGGGCCTGGGAATCTTCATTATTAACAAACTTATCAGGTCTTTCTTATGCACATTGAAGTTTAGTCTTTCTTCCTTAGTGGACATTTACACTGTTTCTGTTTTTCCAGCGTAATATGTAATAGCCAGCAACTTTGTACAGGTGACTAATTTTGGGGGTGGTTATTCAATAGTCTTTCCCTGACCCATGATTGGTTAATTTGCACTTGAGGAAAGTAATATTTGGAGTAAAGAATGGAGTTTGGAGTGCTGGTGATGGTGAGATTACAAGCAAGGCTATAACATCTTTTAAGTATTTTATGCTTATTAAAATAAAACATTGAGTTAGGTAAGGAGAATTTCTGTAATATTGTTATACAGTTTTTAATTGTAATGTTGGGCTGTGGAATTGCTATTAGGGGTAATTTTTAAAATGAGAGTGGAAAAGTTGATAGGTTTAAGGAGAATTTATTTTTCTAATATTTTAGCTTTATTAATCTGGCATTTCGATTCTTCAACAATTTTGATTCTTCATGGCATTTAATAAAACCTTGTTTATGTACTTTATTGTGTCTGTATTGTTGGATATTCTTGGTTATTTTAGCTCTTTAGGAGTGTTATAGCAATGAAAATTGATGGCTTGGCAGATACGGTATATACTGGTATAGCATATACAGTATACATTCTTTTCTTTTTCCTTATAAACAGAACCCTTTTTCCTTATAAACAGAACCCTATTTATTTTATTTTGCCTAGCTGAAAAGTGTATTCCCCAACCTCCTTTACAACTATGATTTGGCTTTGTGACTATTTTGCTTAGTGAGAAATGAGACTTCAAGTGGAAGTTATTTGAATAAATAGGGTTTGTTAAAGAAGGCAGAATCATTTCACAGATACCTTTTGTCCTTTGCTCTTTTCTTCATATTACCTAAAACTTGGACAGAATGCTGGAAGAGGAGACATGGAGTAACCGACATTTGGTGACTGTCACACATAAGAATGTTTAGTGGGAAGACAGGAGGAGCTTAGATCTTTGACATCCCATGAGATATACTTTTCAGATCTAGACTGCTCTCCTCCAGTCTACCTAGATTAGGAAAAAGAGACATTTCAGTGTGTTGAAGCAATTATTTAAATGGGACTCTGTTACATGTAGCCAAATATAATTCCGAACTTATACTTGTGTTTTCCGTAAAACATATTTAGACTAGGTTATCTGAAACTTAACTTTAAAATTGCTTTTATTTTTTTCATTTAATTTAGACATTTTTTAGGACTCTTCATCTGAATGTATAAACAAGTACATTATGCATATTTAAATTATCAAGCATGTTTTGAAATGCGCATTTTCCAATACTGACGTCAACAAATCTACATGCAGAGTATTATAAAACTTACTTTGAAGTAATTTTAAATATAAAGTTGCAAGATGAGTATGAAGAACTTTCATCACTTATTTTTGAACCATTTGAGAGTAAGTTGCATGCTCCTTTACCACTTAAACATTTCAGGATCCGTTTCCTAAGAAAAAATATATTTTTGAGGCAGTTATCAAATTCAGGAATTTAATATTAATACAATATTGTTACTAAGCAGTCCATACTCCTATTTCTCCGGTTGTCCCAATAACATGCTGTAGAATTTAGTATGAGAAGCAATCTGGTCTCACTTTATGTTTGGTGGTCATGCCTTTTCAGTCCTCCTTTAATCTGGAACCGCATCCTTTGTCTTTCTGATGTGTAGACAGTGTGAAGATAAATGTTTCTCAGTTTGGATTTGTCTGATGTTTCCTCAAGATTAGATTCAATTTGTTTATTTTGTGGCAGGAATAGCACAGGTGGTATTGTCTTCTTGGTGTATCATATTATATATCAGGAGGCACACAATGTCATTTTACCCTATTAGGGGTAATATTAACTTTGATCACTTGATTCAGGTGATTTCTGTTAGGTTTCTTCTTTATAGTTACTTTATCACTTTAGAGTTCCTAGGAAGAGAGCTTAAAACTATGCTACTGTCCTGTTTCTCATTAAACTTTCACCCATAATTTTAGCATGCATTGATGATCTTGACTGAATTATTACTGAGATGAATGTAAAACATTTTCAAGAAAGATTTTATCAGATCCTTTTATTCATGACTAGAGGCCCGGTGCACAAAAATTTGTGCACTCGGTGGGAAGGGGGGGCCCCTCAGCCTGGCCTGTGCCCTCTCGCAGTCTGGGACCCCTCAGAAGATAACGCCCTGCTGGTTTAGGCCTGCTCCCGGGTGGCAGAGGGCAGGCCCAATCCCTAGGTGCAGCCCCTGGTCGGGTTAAGAGCAGGGCCGATTGGGGAGTTGGGGCGCCACCCCTGTCATGCACAGAGCAGGGCACATTGGGAGGTTGTGATTCCACCCTCAGTCACGTCAGGGTAGGGCCGATTGGGGGGTTGGGGCACCGCCCCCTGTCACACTCAAGGCAGGGTCGATGGGGAGGTTATGGCGCCACCCCCTGTCACGCACAGAGCAGGGCCCATCAGGGGGTTGGGGCGCTGCCCACTGTCACGCACAGAGCAGGGCCAATCCAGGGGTGGGGGTGCTGCCCCCTGTCACGCACAGAGCAGGGCCCATCAGGGGGTTGAGGAGCTCCCCCCTGTCACTCAAAGAGTAGGGCCGATAGGGGAGTTGGGGCACCGCCCCCTGTCACACAGAGAGCAGGGCGGATCAGGGGGTTGGGGCGCCGCCTTCTATCACCCACAGAGCAGGGCCGATCAGGGGGTTGGGATGCCACCACTCTCACACTCAGGGTAGGGACTATGGGGAGGTTATGGCTCTACCCTGTCACACACAGAGCAGGGCCGATCAGGGGGTTGGAGCGCCGCACCCTGTCACACACAGAGCCGCAGGGCGATCAGAGGTTGGGGAGCTCCCCCGTATCAGGCACAGAGCAGGGCTGATCAGGGGGTTGGGGCGCCTTCCCCTGTCACGAACAGAGCAGGGCGGATAGGGAGGTTGTGGCCCCACCCCCTGTCACACACAGAGCCGCAGGGCTATCAGGGAGTTTGGGTGCTGCCCCCTGTCACGCTGATCCCGGTGCTGGGAGGCCTCTCGGCTCCGCTGATCCCGGTGCTGGGAGGCATATTACCCTTTTACTATATAGGATAGAGGCCTGGTGCATGGGTGGGGCTGGCTGGTTTGCCCTGAAGGGTGTTCTGGATCAGGGTGGGGGTCCCTACTGGGGTGCCTGGCCAACCTGGGTGAGGGGATGATGGCTGTTTGCAGCTGGTCACACACCATTCAGGGTGGGGGTCCCCACTGGGGTGCTTGGGCAGCCTGGATGAGGGGATGATGGCTGTTTGCAGCTGGTCACACACCCTTCAGGGTTGGGGTCCCCATGGGGTGCCTGGCCAGCCTGGGTGAGGGGCTGAGGGCTGTTTGCAGCTGGTCACACACCCTTCATGGTGGGGGTCCCCACTGGAGTGCCTGGCCAGTCTGGGTGAGTGGCTGAGGGCTCTTTTCAGGCTGGCGGGTGACGGAAGCTCCCAACCGCTTCTTTTTTTCTTTTTTTTTTTAAATTATGGGCCAGCTTTAGCTCTGAGGCTCCAGCTCTTAGGCCTCCGCTGCTGAAAGTAGGTAATCGAAACAATGTATAACTCCAGCTCTGACTCCAGCTCTGAGATCCCAGCTTGCTGAAAGCAGGTTTCTGGGGTTTTGTTTACCTTCTATATTGTTACAGTGTTTTTTAAACTGCAGGCTCAGAGGCCTGCAGCGGCAGGCGGGGAACATTGGAATCCTCCGTCACTGAAGCAAGCAAACCTCATGGTAGTTTCAAGCTGCCTGGCTGCTGGCTGCCATCTTGGCTGACAGTTAATTTGCATATCGCCCCGATTAGCCAATGGGAAGGGTAGCGGTCGTTTGCCAATTACCATGTTTCTCTTTTATTAGATTAGATGCTGTCTTAGAAACTTCTTTTAAAAATGTAGGGAGGAACATAGCTCTTAATTAGGGTAGTTCAGGGAAGGATTTGATAGTGGGATCCTATCCATCTCCCTCCTTTTCTCTCCAATCTATACTAATAAAAGGGAGACCTTCCAGACAAAGCCATGGTGGCCGGGCCGAGGCAGAGGTGTTTAGGGGCGATAAGGCTGGTAGGGGAGGGCGGTTGGGGGTGAGCAGGCCAGCAGGGGGGGCGCTGTTGGGGGCAAGCAGGCCAGCAGGGGGGGCAGTTGGGGGTGAGCAGGCTGGCGGGGGGTGCTGTTGTGGATGAGCAGGCCGGGGGGGTGGCAATTGGGGGCAAGCAGGCGGCTGGGTGGGGGCAGTTGGGAGCAAGCAGGCCAGCAAGGTGGGGGCAGTTGGGGGCAAGCCGGCCAGCTGGGAAGGGGGCTGTTGGGGGTGAGCAGGCTGGCAGGGAGGAGAAGTTGGGGACCAGCAGGTCAGCAAGGGGGGGCAGTTGGGGTGAGCAGGCCAGCAGGGGGTAGTTGGGGTCGAGCAGGCCGGCAGTTTGGGGCAGTTTGGGGCGATCAGGCCAGCAAGAGAGGGCAGTTGGGGGTGAGTAGGCCGGCGGAGGGCGGCAGTTGGGGGTGAGCAGGTCGGCGGGGGGGGCAGTTGGGGGTGAGCAGGGGGCAGGCAGGGGACAGTTGGGTGAGCAGGCCGGCAGGGGGGCTGTTGGGGGTGAGCATGGAGGCAGGGGGGCTGTTGGGGGTGATCTGGCTAGAAGGTGGGGCAGTTGGTGGCAATCAGGCTGGAAGGCAGAGTGGTTAGGGACGATCAGGCAGGCAGGTGAGTGATTAGGAGCCAGTGGTCTCAGATTGTGAGAGGGATGTCCAACTGCCGGTTTTGCTCTAATCCCTGTGGGATCGGGCCTAAACTGGCAGTCGGACATCCCCTGAGGGGTCCCAGATTGGAGAGGATGCAGGCCGGGCTGAGGGACAACCCCCCACCCCTCGTGCACGAATTTCGTGCACCAGGCCACTAGTTCTATCTAATAAAAGAGAAACATGGTAATTAGCCATACATCCGATACCCTTCCCATTGGCTAATCAGGGCGATATGCAAATTAATTGCCAGCCAAGATGGCGGCCGGCAGCCAGGCAGCTTGAAGCGAACATGGGGCTTGCTTGCTTCAGTGATGGAGGACTCCAACGTTCCCCGCCTGCCGCTGCCGGCCTCTGAGCTTGCAGTTTGAAACATTGTTACAAATATGGAATCTAAACAAACTCCAGAAACCTGCTTTCAACGAGCCGGGATCTCAGAGCTGGAGTTGAAACAGTGTTTTGATTATAGAACCCAAACAAACCAGATACCTGCTTTCAGCAGCAGAGGCTTTAGAGCTGGAGCCAAGCCTCAGAGCTAAAGCTGGCCCAGAATAAAAAAAGAAAAAAGAAAAAAAGGAGCGGTTGGGAGCTTCAGTCACCCGCCAGCCTGAAAACAGCCCTCAGCCCCTCACCCAGACTGGCCAGGCACCCCAGTGGGGACTCCTACCCTGAAGGGTGTGTGACGAGCTGCAAACAGCCATCATCCCCTCATCCAGGCTGGCCAGGCACCCCAGTAGGGACCCCCACCCTGATCCAGGATACCCTTCAGGGCAAACCAGCTGGCCCCCACCCGTGCACCAGGCCTCTATCCTATATAGTAAAAGGGTAATATGCCTCCCAGCACCGGGATCAGCGGAGCCGCGAGGCCTCCCGGCACCGGCACCGGGATCAGTGTGACAGGGGGCAGCGCCCAAACCCCCTGGTCGCCCTGTGGCTCTGCGTGTGACAGGGGGCGGGGCCACAACCTCCCTATCCGCCGCCCTGCTCTGTTCGTGACAGGGGAAGGCGCCCCAACCCCCTGATCAGCCCTGCTCTGTTCCTGATAGGGGGGAGCTCCCCAACCCCCTGATTGCCCTGCAGCTCTGTGTGTGACAGGGTGCAGTACCCCAACCCCCCCCCCCCCCCAGGCCCTGCTCTGTGTGTGATGGGGTAGAGCCATAACCTCCCCATCGGCCCTGCCCTGAGTGTGACAGTGGCGGCGCCCCAACCCCCTTATCGGCCCTGCTCTGTGGGTGATAGAGGGCGGCGCCCCCAACCCCCCCCTTTCCCCCATGGGCCCTGCTCTGTGTGTGACGGGGTAGAGCCATAACCTCCCCATTGGCCCTGCCCTGAGTGTGACAGGGTGCAGCGCCCCAACCCCCTGATCTACCCTTCTCTGTGACGGGGTGGTGCCCCAACTCCCCTATAGGCCCTACTCTGTGAGTGACAGGAGGGAGATCCTCAACCCCCTGATGGGCCCTGCTCTGTGCGTGACAGGGGGGAGCTCCCCAACCCCCTGATGGGCCCTGCTCTGTGCATGACAGGGGGGAGTGCCCCAACTCCCTGATCGGCCCTGCTCTGTGAGTGACAGGGGGCAGCGCCCTAACCCCCTGATTGGCCCTGCTCTGTGCGTGACAGGGGGCGGTGCCCCAACCTCCCCATCGACCCTGCCTTGAGTGTGACAGGGGGCAGTGCCCCAACTCCCCAATCAGCCCTGCTCTGAGCCCAACCAGGGGCTGCACCTTGGGATTGGGCCTGCCCTCTGCTACCTGGGAGCAGGCCTAAGCCAGCAGGTCGTTATCTCCCGAGGGGTCCCAGACTGCGAGAGGGCACAAGCCCGGCTGAGGGATGCCCCCTCCCCCCCGAGTGCACAAATATTTGTGCACCGGGCCTCTAGTAGAGTATAATTACTGTATAGACAAATAGCATATGAACAGGTCTGAAGCAAATGGGAGCAAAAGATGCATTCTATATTTAGGATCTTTTATGACAGATTGGAGAATGAGGTGATTCTCTTTTTTCCTCAAATAGCTCTTAGTATTTCCATGATGTAGTATACCTACATAGTATATGGCCTGCCAAAGCATGTCTTTTTCAGACGTTCCAGGTGCCTGGATGTTGGCTGACCCAAGAGGCAGGGAGGAATTCCTAGAATTGCCTGACTTCAGTCAGTAAGGCCATTACCTCCTTGAAGTAGCCCAATGGATACACTTTCCTTAGTTTTCCTGGGTTTATCCACCATGCAGATCACTCCTTTTCATTTTGGGAGACATGAATGAGGTGGTGAAGATTAGCTAGAAACTTAATTCAGGAGCTCTTATTCTTTGGGAGTAATGTAAAAATTCCCTTTTGGTGGAATCATGAGAATGGGGTAAGGTTCTCCACATAGCATGGTTCATTCTTCCTAAAAGAGTGAAATTTGTTCAGTCTCAAGTTCGTTTTTATTCTAGTTTAATTTGCATTTTCCATCACCCTCCCCCCTCCCTGCAAAGTCAGTCATATTTTCATATTTCAAAGTGTAATAATTTTGGTTTTCCCCCTCCTTTAGCATCAGCAGACGTTTTTGAATCAGCTGAGAGAAATCACTGGGATTAATGACACCCAGATACTACAGCAAGCCTTGAAGGTATGACCTCTGTTTTATGACATAGTTCATGTTAACCCCTTTAGTCTTATTGCCTACCATGTTTGAAAGTTGAATTTTTTTGTTATACCATGTGGTAGTAGTAGAAATATAAGAAAGAACTTTTATAAAAGAAGAGACTTAACACACTATAGTTTTGAGCATGTTAGCTTCAGCAGCCTAATGTTCCAAGATATTGTGGAGTGACAGATAACTCTCCGTAAGAAACACTTTCATGGCAAAATGGAGGGGTGTGATGAATCCAGATGTAGATGGCTGATTTACTCAAGAGCCACATGTTAGAGTTTAAATGGGGTGGAGAGTGGGTTGCGTTAGAAGAAGAGGAGGAGAGAGGAGTAGAAAATTAATAGAGGATCAAAAGCTTACTTTTTTTTTCCTTCCAAGGAAAAATATAATTTGGCTAACATTCAACTGAATGTACCTTATGAATATTCAACATCAAACCTGTTTAGTACATGCAACAAATATAGTGCATCATTTTGGTTGTATCTTATGAAGTAGCCTCCTTTCTATATGAGGCACTAGATGAGTCATATCACATGGATACGTGCATTGAAAAGATGAAGTGGCCTGGCCTGAGTGCCTCAGTGGTTGAGCATCAACCCATGAACCAGGAGGTGACTGGTTTGATTCCATGTCAGGGCACATGTCTGAGTTGTGGGCTCGATATCCAGTATGGGGCTAGCAGGAGGCAGCCAAATGATGTTGCTCTCTCTAAAATCAATAAAAACATATTAAAAGAAAAAAGATCAAGTGAAGGAAAGATGTTTAAGAATTTAAATTTACAGTGTTTGTGCCACTCTAGGCCTTCATACAACTTCAATCCTTTGGAACTTGCTACATGAGGCAAAATTATGTAATTTTTTATTCTGAGCCCCAAATTCTTCATTTGTTTCTAGCAATAATTTATCATTTAGATGAGTGTAATCATAATCATCATAATGATAGTGATCATAGCACTTGTTAGGCACTTACAGTACTAGCTGCTATTCTCAATACTTCATGTGGATAACATTCTCCTACTAGCTCTATGAGATGAGGTAGGTATTATTTTCACCTCCTTTTAAAAGATTAGGAGACAGAGGTTAACGTGACTTGCTTAAGACCCCACAGCTAGTATGTGGAGGAGCTTAGAATAGAAACCAAGAAGCCTGGTTCCGGGGGGCCACACTGAACTTCTGCTTTTACTAGAAGCTTTGCTTCAGCTTTTTCCCCATTAGAAAAATGATGAGATAGTACTGTTTAGACTGACCCTCAATGCATGGGTTATGAAGCCAATGTATGTATTTGGACAGGAAGCAAAAGTGTTGTACTCTGTTTTTATAATTATGACATTTGGATGATTGCCAGTTTTTTCTTTATTCTGATAACCTGACCAAATCACCCCATGTGTATTTTCAGACAGTGTCTTTTCCATTCTGTACCACTGAGTGGGAGTATACACCATTATATTGTCAAGGCAAATCTAGGAAATTTCTTTTTTAACTTGGGAAATATGTAGGATATGTTTAATTAAATAATAATAAAGAATTAATTAAATTCTTGTCCACATTTTCTTTGAGGTAAGTTGTGTAACTTTATTTGTTTTTGTTTTAAACTTTTGATTCTGGTACCAGTAGTTGGTCTGGGGGTTGGGGGAGACATTGTGCTTGAACCTTAACTGTTGCCCAATATAAATTTGTAAGATGTTTAATAATATCTTGACTCTTGCAGTCATAGACTGACAGGTAGTTTACTGTTGGGAGCCACAATGTTATTGATTGATTTCAGGACTTTTATTTTATTTTGAATATCTATCTTTAGCATCCAAAGAGTTAAAGATAGATATTCAAAATAAAAGGTTACTATCTTTAGTAACCTTTAGGTTGTGTAAATCCTGGTTGCAGTTTGTTATTGCATAAGATAGTGTATGAAATGCACTTAGCACACTTTTTGGCACATAGTAAGTGCTCAATAAATATTAGCCATTATTATTGCAAATTATTTTACAACTAGTTTATTTATTGAACTATAAAATATGTTACAGCCATATTTTGGATGAATCATTCATTTAAGAGTCTTATAATAATTGTGACAGAGTTCAAAGCAGTGGTGCTTTTCAAATTGCACCGTGACCTTTTCTCTCCTCACTAGCTACTAGAATTGCAGTGAGTGCATTGGGGACTTCATTCTTCCATAGCTCAGGCCTCAGGTCTTGGAATCATCCTGATCTTTTTCTTTCTGTCATCCTTCCCCCCTCCCCCCATATTTAATATGATAGCAAATGATGTTGGGCTTTGCTGCTGCCCTTTCTGTCCTGTAATCTATTCTCAACAAACAGTAGAGCAATCCTTTAAATGTAAGCCATACCATGTTATTTCGGTCCAAATCACTCCACTGGCTTCCTGTTACACTTTGTGTGGGGGAAAGTTCCTAAGGCCTGCACAGCTTGTGTCCTCTGGTTTTCTGTTATAAAGATAACTTCATTATTAACATTTGGATTTCTTAATGTTGTTTGAATTAGCTGCCATAGAACTATTGTTACATGTATTAAGTGTACAGAGAATATAGAGATAAAACTGAGCAAGTCATTCTTTTGTTGTTTTAGAAATTCTCAGTTTCCTAGCATCTACTTTTTTTCTAAATTAACTGTAGAAAAAAGTTGTGTCTAGGTATGCTTTTGACGAGAATTACATAAACTTTATTAGTATGTATAGGTTGGGTGGGATCATCATCATCTTATCATTGAGCATTTCTGTCTAGGACAGCAGTTCTCAACCTGTGGGTCGCGACCCCTTTGGGGGTCGAACGACCCTTTCACAGGGGTTGCCTAAGACCATGGGAAAACACATATATAATTACATATTGTTTTTGTGATTAATCACTAAGCTTTAATTATGTTCAATTTGTAATAACGAAAATACATCCTGCATATCAGATATTTACATTACGATTCATAACAGTAGCAAAATTACAGTTATGAAGTAGCAATGAAAATAATTTTATGGTTGGGGGTCACTACAACATGAGGAACTGTATTAAAGGGTCGCGGCATTAGGAAGGTTGAGAATCACTGGTCTAGGAGTTCTGAGTGTCTCTTCATACTATCAAGCTGCAGAACGTTTTACTATTTTCTTTCTACAGGCCTTTGACATTTGCTTAAGTTTGCCTGTAGGCATGGATTCAGCATCCATATTAAAGGGAACATCTTTTATTGTCCTTGTTTACAGAAGTACTGTTATAAATACTGATTTTTTACACGTTTATATAGCAAGCTCCAGAAAACATTTTTTAGTTTGTTCGTTGGTTTAGAAGTATAAGTTTGTGATTGATTTTTGTTAAACAGATATGAAAGTAATGGAAAAATAAGAAATTGGTTATATAATTGATTTTTACATTGTATTAGTAGTTTTAATCAATAGAAACAGGAATTACTATTGATATAGTATACTTTGTTTACAATGAATTTAGGGTACAAAATTAGAATCAACAATAATTTCAAATCTGAAAACAATTTTTGCTATTAAGTATTAGTTGTTATGAAGAGAATTACATAAACCATGAGGATGTATAGAAATAGTTCAAAATATTTGATATTTTGTTCTTGATATTTGAAGGACAGTAATGGAAACTTGGAATTGGCAGTGGCTTTCCTGACGGCAAAGAATGCCAAGCCCCCTCAGCAGGAAGAGACAGCTTACTACCAAACCGCGCTTCCCAGCAGCGACCGGTACATCAGTGTGGGGAGCCAGGCGGACGCAAGTGAGTTTACTTCTCCTTCTTAATATTTTATATGATGTAATGAGAAATTCCCGTGGGAATATATTCATTTGTTTAAGCAGAGGTGAAGGAAAATAAAAGAGCTACTTCATCAGCATTATATATTTTTTTCCAGTTTAGGAGTTAAAGATTGTACGTAAGTTATTTATCTTTTCATTGAGCATTTCACATAGTAATTATTGTTTAAAATAGGGAGTAGCTACAGGTGTTACTCATTAAAGAAACAAACTTTTCTAGAATTTTAAGTGGGAACAGTCATTTCTTTTATGGAGTTTAAGTGTTGTGGCGGCCTCAATATTATTTTTGAAGGTAAAATATTATTTTTGATTACTGATAGGTCCATTTAATAGACTTTCCTTTACCTCAACCCCTGCCCTTCCCCAAAATAAAGCTTTTGGGAGAAGATTTATTACCATGTAATAAAATAAACACATATATGAACACACAGACACAGATACACATATACATAGAAAATTTTGCATGGGATACTAAGTTTTCTTCAGAGTATCAATATGTTTATATAACAATGAATTTTAAAAAATATGAACATTTACCCCCTATAAAATGTAGGTATTTATTTTTATGCATTCTGGACTTGAGCAGTTTGATTATTAACTTGTATTTGAAGAGAATTTCTGATTTTGTTTATAGACTTTATTTAAGTTAGACAGCAATCAGGAAGAACCCATCCACATAGATGTTTATAGCTATTGATTGGCATTAAATACTGCTTAATTCTTGTTAATAAAATATTTTCATTTCAAACTTTCAAGGTGATCTTTATATTTTTGCTTCACAAGTGATCTTAGGTTAGCCAAAGCTGGAATACTCCTACATCACACAGATAATAGGTGTGGGAGAAGTTTTATACTCATAAGACAGACTTTGCTTATGTTCAAGTTCAAAACACACTGTGTTTTGGCCTCTGTCTGTATCTCTAACTTCCTTTTCTCCTGTTGTCCTCCTCTCACTTTGTACTGTCATAATACAGAATGGCTTGAAGTTCTCAGACCCTCAGTGCTATTTAATCTCTCCGTCTTTACATTTGCTGTTCCTTCTGTCTGGAGTCCCATCTAGCCTTTACCTCTAGCTTCATTCCTTCTGGTGTAAGACTTAACTTAAGAGCTGCTGGTTCTGGCAATAAGTGCTTCTCTAGCAGCTAGAGCATACTTTTGTCTTAAAGAGTACTACTGTGTTATTTTCAAATTGTTTGTGTCTTTCTTGCTTACCAAACTGGAAGCTTAACAGGGCAAGAAACCATTGATGTTCCCGGCATCATACTAGAATGTCATAGTGTCTCAAAAGCGTTTGTTGAATTATTTTTAAATATATAAAAAGCTGTTTCAAGACCAATGAAAGGGAACAAGCTTGTTGCAAGAAAAAGAGAAAAAAAGAGGTGATTAAAAAAGGTGAAAAAGGAGAAGTCTATAAATAAAGAAGGAATGAGTATATGAGAATAACAACATTTATGGTTCTGAGACTTGGGGGGAAACAAAATTAGGTAGAAAAGGGAAAAACAGAATTATTTTGATTGAAGGCAATTGCTTAAAGTGAAGGAAACAGGGAATTGACTAAACATGGTTCAGGTTTCTAGTTGAATGGATGAAAATATTTTAGAATGAGAGCTGAGAATTCTTATAGATGGTAGACTTTGTGACATGAGATATCATATATAGGTATTCAGGGGAGGTAAGATCATAAGACTGTTATAAACAAAAGAAAATATCTTATTTGCTGTGAGAAAGTCAGGAAATATTCTTTTTTTAAAAATATTTTTTTAGGAAATATTCTTTTAAGGTAGATGTTAACACCTGTTCAAGATTTTTGACAAAGGAATAGTGAAAATATGGATAAAAAGAGATTTGAACAGGAGTTCTGAGGGAAAGGGCCACCTGATTTTATTTTTATTTATTTAATTTTAATGTTTTTATTTATTTTAGAGAGAGAGGAAGGGAGAGGGTTAGAGAGATAGAAACATCAATGAGAGAGAAACATCACTGAGCTGCCTCTTGCATGCCCCTTACTGGGGATTGAGCCCCAACCTGGGCATGTGCCCTGACCGGGAATAGAACCGGTGTCCTCTTGGTTCATGGGTCGATCGATGCTCAACCACTGAGCCACATGAGCTGGGCACAACCTGATTTTATAAGACGTATGTCCCATTTTCTCATAATGAAAATTTGTGTGTGTGGCTCTTGAAAAATGTACACTAAATAATTTTATATTTCACTTGAAAGAAATGGTAGAGAAATGGAATTTCTGGTTTCATCTCAACTGATTTGACAGTTGTATTGAGCAAATTGCTTGCTGTTGTGGTTTCTTTATTGATAAAATGTGCTGCCCTTCTACCCAGATGTTAATTCATATTTAACCATTCAATAATTTGGATAGCGTGTTCATAAAGTTGGTTTGAGATTAGTGAGAAGAAACTTTCTAAAATAGATGTGGTGATTGTATTAATAATAGTATCAAACTGAGGAAAGTAGCTGAGGAGGTAACAGTAATTCTTTTCCATTTAATAAGCTTGTGCCATATTTTATGAAGTTTTAAGAAGTACATCTGCCTTTAGGAAATAGTCCTGATTCAATATTTAAATTCTGTAGTGTAATAATTTCACATGGTTTAAAACTGAGAAAGTACGGAGATGTCATGCATTCATTAGATTCTTTAAATTATTGTGCTGTTATTGCTGAAAGAATCAAAATCTTTTGTGTATTTTAACTGGGAAAGAGTGGTAAAACATGTGGGTAGGAAAGATAATTACAAATGAAAATGTATTCGAACACTGGCCTCTACTGAAAAATCTGCGTTAAGTGCTTAAAGAATGTGTAGTGTTGAAGTGATCAAAGTGTTAGGAAGTTTTCCAGGGATTGCTCTAGATCAGTGGTTCTCAACCTTCCTAATGCCGCGACCCTTTAATACAGTTCCTCATGTTGTGGTGACCCCCAACCATAAAATTATTTTCGTTGCTACTTCATAACTGTAGTTTTGCTACTGTAAACAATATATAATTAATTATATATGTTTTTTCTGATGGTCTTAGGTGGCCCCTGTGAATGGGTCGTTCGACCCCCAAAGGTGTCGCGACCCACAGGTTGAGAATCACTGCTCTAGATCAAGCATGTCAAACTCAAAGGCTAAAACAGGCCAGATAAACAAGGGTTAAGTTTATGTGGGCCGCAAAAAAAACAAAAGCTTCAATTTTCATAGAAACATAGGTTTATTTTGATAGAGACATGCTGAATACAAAGGGCTGAAATAAATGAGTAATCGTTAACATAAAATAGAAGAACATTTTCATAAAAATTAATATATTTTTTAATTTCTTTATTGTTCAGATTATTACATTTGTTCCTCTTTTTTCCCCCCATAACTACCCTCCTCCCAGTTCCCGCCCCACCCTCCGCCCTCACTCCCCACCCACTGTCCTCATCCATAAGTGCACGATTTTTGTCCAGTCTCTTCCCGCATCTCCCATACCCCTTTCCCCCCCAAGAATAGTCAGTCCATTCCCTTTCTATGTCCCTGATTCTATTATAATCACCAGTTCATTCTGTTGATCAGATTATTTATTCACTTGATTCTTAGATTCACTTGTTGATAGATGCATATTTGTTGTTCATAATTTGTATCTTTACCTTTTTCTTCTTCTTCCTCTTCTTAAAGGATACCTTTCAGCATTTCATATAATACTGGTTTGGTGGTGATGAACTCCTTTAGCTTTTCCTTATCTGTGAAGCTCTTTATCTGACCTTCAATTCTGAATGATAGCTTTGCTGGATAAAGTAATCTTGGTTGTAGGTTCTTGGTATTCATCACTTTGAATATTTCTTGCCACTCCAATCTGGCCTGCAAAGTTTCTGTTGAGAAATCAGCTGACAGTCGTATGGGTATTCCCTTGTAGGTAACTGAGTTTCTTTCTCTTGCTGCTTTTAAGATTCTCTCTTTGTCTTTTGCTCTTGGCATTTTAATGGTGACGTGTCTTGGTGTGGTCCTCTTTGGATTCCTTTTGTTTGGGGCTCTCCGCGCTTCTTGGACTTGTAAGTCCATTTCTTTCACCAGGTGGGGGAAGTTTTCTGTCATTATTTCTTCAAGTAGGTTTTCAATATCTTGCTCTCTCTCATCTTCTGGCACCCCTATAATTCTGATGTTGGTACGCTTGAAGCTGTCCCAGAGTCTCCTTACACTATCCTCGCATTTTTGGATTCTTTTTTCATTCCGCCCCTTCGGTTGGGTGTTTTTTGCTTCCTCGCATTTCAAATCATTGACTTGATTCTTGCGCTCCTCTGGTCTGCTGTCAGGAGTCTGTATAATATTCATTATTTCAGTCCATGTATGCTTAATTTCTATTTGGTTCCCCATCATAACATCGAGGGTCTCATTAGTTTTCTTGTAGATCTCATTAAGTTTATCGGCGGCTTCTAAACAGTTCTTGAGAGACCTTAAAAGTGTGGTTCTGAACTCTATATCTTCCATTGACAATTTTGTCCTGTTTCTTTGTCTCCGCATTTTGTTATGCTTTCTTGGTGCACCCCCTAGTGGTCTTTGTGCGCAGTCTTGTAGTTAAGCCTTGATTGTTGTAGCTAATACCAGGGAGGGTTTGACCTCCAGGCCAAGTGCCTGTGAGAATCAGCTCTGTCTGCAGTGAGAGAACTTCTGTCCTCTAGGGAGGTGCTAATCTGGCGTTTGCCTGAGGCTATCCGGCAAATGCCTCTGTGCAGGGCTTGGGCGGGGCGGGTCGCACAGGATCAACAGGGTGGGCCGGAGAGAGCAGTTATGGCGGCTCTCAGTCCTGTCCCCAGGGGCTCTGCCTCTCTGTGTCCCAGCAACCTGCAAACCTCGGAGAGAAAGCTGCACTCGCTCTGACCGAAGCCAGACAGTCCCGCTTCTCCCGTTTGAGTCTGGGTCCCTAAAGACTCACCCGTATCTGGAGCTCAGAGTCTGCGACTCCCTCCCGATTGAAAACGCCAACCGCCTCCTCC